TTCCTATCTTCATTTTGATATATTATGGGTCGAATTTGGTTAAGAAACGATTGAGTTACGAAGCTTTGAAAATTGTCCAAACTTTCGGCCAAGAGCTCCGGGACATTTAACGGAGTTTTTAACGGAAGGACCAAAATGATGGATGGTGGACAATCTCAGGGACCACTTTTATCGATTTGAAATATTAGGGACCAAAGTGATGAGTTATGCAAATCTCAAGAACCATTTTGGCTATTCAGCCATTCTAATATTTGATTATTCCGAATTTCCTTGACGGTGAAGTAAAACAATAATTAATGGGAATATCTATCCTATCAAGTTGTGGAGTCTCGATGTGCTAAAGATATGTAGTGGTGGGCTTTTTTTATGGGCAAAAAACCTAATACTCTCACTTGTAAATATAAGGCTTAGGTTCCAATTTCATACACAATTCTAGCACAAAACCCTACTCCATATAGGAGTGCACAAGGCGTGTAGAGAGAGCCGAAGATCTTTGCTTGCTGCTGCCATTCGTTATTCATCTCTTACTTCGTTTCATTGGCTTCTCAAGATTAGTGCTTTGAGTGTGCATTAATATATCATAGAAGATTTACAGTAATATATTAGGTAAAAGTACACGAGCCAATCAACGTTCAACGTTCAACTTTCATGACATTTTCCAGTGGTTGCTCAAAAGATTTTCAACTAAAGAACGTCACGGCCTCTAGAAACAAATTAAGTCCTCATGTTTAACGTGGGTTTTGAAAATGAGCCTATAATTAGGTCAAGACAGCTCTCCAATATTATCTGTTACTGACTTGTTATGATCTAAAACGAGCTTCGATGCACAATAATTTCCAGCTCAACATTTTGCATTGAGAATCTTTATTGAGATTCCGGCTGAGAGGAGAGTGATTATTTGAGAGAATTGCAGTCAACGCCCGTGGATTTGGCCCAATTTTTGGTGAACCACATTACGCAAGTATTTTGTTGTTCGTTCTTTGTTGCATCAATTTTCCTTATTTTTCTTTGCAATCTTTGACACTTTGAAACTCCTAACATAAATACTGCCATACCCGAATTCTTGCGTTTAATTCTCTACTGCAACAATATCACTAAAAAGTACTGCCAAGATTTCAATGAGACCACATTGCACTCTACCTTCTTTATGAATTTCTGCATCAATGAACACCGTAACTCTTTCAAAACAAATGAAAACAGCATTAAGGATATTTTGTGTTGGTTTGGTGACATGATTGTGTTGATCTATCTACCGGCCGGCCTTTCCAACTTTGTTTGCTCTTTTATTTTAAATCTTGGAGCTAATGTTAATTTTGGTCCAAAGCTTTCCCTGGGGTTTGCCCTTCCTGTGTTGTTGTTCTGTCTTTTGTGGCTTAATTAGTGGTTTCATAAAGTTGGAGATTAATGTTGTCTAATTACATGGGAAAATCTCTAATATATTGGTGGGGCCATCATGTGATTAACGTTACTCTAACCACATATTTGTTGTACTATCTTTTTAATAGAGATGATACCTACACGTGTTGATAAACTCTATTTCTATTAAAGAGATACAAAAATATACGATAAGGGTAACATTACTCATATAACAAAAAAACTGGTTTTTTTACTTCGGCGTGTTAAGGTGCATGTGTAGAAGTAGTTGTGACTTATGAGTACATAATCCATCCAGTTTTTTTCTCAATATTATATCCACAATTACAGAGAGCATAAAAGATTGACTTCTCCTTTTCTTCTCCCTTTTTCTTTCTTTTCAAAACAGAGACTGACTTACTTGAAACGAATATTTTCTTGAGAATTTTATTTGAACTCATATAACATCTTTTTTACACCTAACTTACTTTTTACACCCATATTAAAAATAATTAAACTATCAAAATCTTTTTAAACCCACATTTACTACTTGAACTACCCTTACAAACCCAATTCAAAATATAAATTTATCTTTACACCCATTCAAAACAAAACTAAATTGATTAAATGAAAACGTGTTATACGAAGATTGAGAGTGTAGCATGGAGGATCATGAATGGAGTAGTTATCCCCAACAGTATAGCTATCAAGAAAAATAAAATTGGAGAGAGTGAATACGCTTTGTTTCGATCATATGCCCGTCTACGCTATTCTATGCTTCATTCCGTCCATGGTTTGTCAAACTTTTCTATTAATAGTCAGTGTGAAGTATATGAGGATGAGTGTACACATACTGGACCTGATCAAGAAGACGAAGTCAACAATCACTTCATGTGAATTGTTTATTTGATTGATGGAATGAAACCTTAGAAATCCAAAGCGGTTGAGCATCCCAAAGTTGCTGGTGCCTTTGAGAAAATTTAGCTAGTGGCTTGATGATTACTTTCTGAAAGGATTGTCCCAGGGGTGCAGGGCAACTGGGCAGTGATGCAGGTGCACTGAATGCAAGTAGTACTAGCACCTTGTTAAAAATTAAACATGTCCGCAATGCAAAGAAGATGACGTAAGAAAAGTTGATGCTAATGATGATTTTATATTCGAGCTGTAGATTTATGTATGAATGTGATTGAACTTTTTGCAAGCAATACACTTGTAAACCCAAGGTTCTAAAAAACGGTAGGTGCTAGTCTGACAGCGGGTTGGCGCCTAGCGCCTAGGTGGCTAGGCGGGGTCTAGGCGGATTTAGGTAATTTTCTTGTATATCCTGTAAATAAGTGCCTATTGACACTTACAAAAAATTATACTTGCATGAAATCCTTGGATAGAATTAATAAAAAAATGATAAAATGCAAAAAGAGTATCCAACAAGTTCAAAATTTAAAAACGCATTAAGCATATATGTCATATAACCATAGTGAGGAGTATTGTAGGATGACAAATGTACAACAAGTTCACAATTTTAAACCACTTAGACTTAGATAGGATTTTTTATTTTATTTTTTAATTTCATAAATAAAAAAAACCGCCTAGCTCCGCCTAGCCCTGCCTACCCCGCCTACCCCGCCTAGAGCCAATCCGATTTTTCCAATCAATTTGCAAGAAAACGCCTCAGCTCACCACCGCCTAGGCCGTTTTTTAGAACAATGTGTAAACCCTAAACAAAAATAATTAAAATCAAACAAAAAAAACTCACATAAATCGATTCATACCTTAGTTGAAGGTTCCAAAACTTCAAAATCCTTGTCCATATGTAAAAAATAGGTTGGTTTTGTCTATGTGAGTGTCTTAGGGTTTTAGCTTAAATAGAACGTAAAAGAAAGATTGCGTGATGGTAAGAATTCAATTATTAGTGTGGGTTTATTAATAAATTTTAGTTTTATTGTTAATTTTATTTTGTACTTGATGATAATTATACAATAAGGCAAATATGACAATTCACATTTAAAATTTAGGGTTAATCTCTGTTTACTACCCTAAAATTTCGTGGTTTTCAACATTTGGTACATGAAGTTTTTTTCATCCCAGAGTCATACCTCAAGTCTTAATTTTAGGACAGTTTCATACCTTCGTTAAGTTTTCTGTTAGAATTTTTGTTAATTGATGACGTGGCGTTCACGTGGACAATAATTGAACGTCACGTGTCAATATGGACCCATTTTAATATTAAAAAATTAAAAAAATACAAAAACACAAAAATAATGAAAAAAAAGCCCAACTTGTCCCTCACCCCTGCACCATTATCTCTTCTGCAAATCCCAGCATCTCACCCAAATCCCACCCCACCCAAATCCTAGCACCTCTCGATTTCTTTCTTTCTCTCTCTCTCACTACACTCACTTTCTTCCTCCGCCTTATTCGCCGTGAAAAGAAGACGACGAGAAACATCCAGCAAACCCCACCACCGCCGCCAATCTCTCTGAACCCACACCCTACAAAACCCAACAGAAACCAAGCAAATCAATCTTTCACTGCGATTCCCTAACCTTTTTGGTTCTCCATGTCCTCCGAATCGAGAGTTTCGACCTTCTGCGGCAAAGCCTCCGAGCCACACCCTAACCCTGACCATCTAGATCTTGAGTGAAGAACACTCACTGTCAACACATCTAGTACGGTCGCAAGAAAAGAGAGTAGAAAAGAGAGAAAGAGAGCTCTAAGCGCCAAACTCGACAAAATGCAAGATCCGGCCAACCCGAAACCGGATCCGAGCTTTAGCTCTTAGGACTCTCACCACCCATGCATGGCGCCCGCCGTTTCCAGACACGACTCCGAGCACCCCGTTCCAGGGCTCCTACCACTGTCGAACCCAATCCGAGGCCATTTCTAGATCCCTGACAACCTGGATCTGCTCTAGGACCCGTTCGACGGCCCGTCCTGCGGCTTCAAAGAGTTGGGCAGCTCCGATGACGACATCTTCGACACCTACATGGACATAGAGAAGCTCAGATGTGCTTGGAGAGAGAGAGAGGTGAAGAGGGAGGTGTGGGAGTGATTGGGAAAGAGAAAAGGAAGGGATCGGGGAAGAGGGGGGGCGGGTGGGTTTTCTTTCTCGTCGTCTTCTTTTCACGACGAATAAGGCGGAGGAAGAGAATGAGGGTAGTGAGAGAGAGAGAGAGAGAGAGAAAGAAATCGAGAGGTGCTGGGATTTGCAGAAGAGAGAAGGTGGGTGCAGGGGTGAGGGGACAGGTTGGCTTTTTTTTTTTTTGTATTTGTTTTTTAATTTTTTTAATATTAAAGTGGGTCCATATTGACACGTGGTGCTCAATTATTGACACATGGTGCTCAATTATTGACCACATGAACCCCACATCATCAGTTAACATAAATTCTAACGGAAAACTTAACGGAAGTATGAAACTGTCCCAAAATTAAGACTTGAGATATGACTCTGAGATGAAAAAAACTTCATGTATCAAATATTGAAAACCACGAAATTTTAGGATAATAAACAGAGATTAACCCTAAAATTTAAGTTGGGTGTAAAGTGAGATTACATGGATTCAAATAAAATATCCATATTTTCTTCCTTGTTCCTTGTTTGATATATTTCTGGGTGCATGCTAGCTCGAATTCAGGATGGCTCTCAGGGAGCAAGAGTGTGCCCTTACCCGCGCGCGTGGGAGCGAGATGTTCGTGGAGACTGGGAATTGGATGAGAGCTCGATCAAGGAAAGCTCCGGTCGGTCAAATAACATCAGCCCCTCATCCGCCCAATCAACGTTAAGGAATCAAAAGAAACATTAAGAATTACGAAAACAAACCTTAATCAAAACCCAACACAACAGGAATCCAATTCAAAACAACAAAACAAAAACAAATACAGTAAAGAAATCCTGGGCTTTTCGTTGATTATCTTTTGGAGCATGCGCAACCACGTCAAAAAACATTGTTGTTTGTTGTTTCCTGTACCTCCCCAAATTCCGAATCTTTGTGGGTAATGACACAAAAAATCCATGAAATCCCAATGGGACATGAAAATTTACTGTTCGATTTCGTCGAATGTTACAGTCTTTGGGTTTAATGTTACACTAATCACCATGGGTTCCAATCAAAGGTTGTTACTTTGTCAAGTTCGTCAAAAGGACTTTTGATTGGTTTCAATGTTTTTCTCTTGGGTTTGACCTTTATGAGGTTTTGAATGCATATTTCTGACACACCCACCTTATTTAACAAATGAGAATATTAATTACTTTTAAATTTTTATTAAAATTTTTGGTGACTGAGAATTTTGATTTTATTTTTGGTGAGTTAGATTACGATAGATAGACAAAGATAAATAAATTAATCCTAACAGAAGTTGGGGTTGTTTTTTTATACGAATTTCTTTTTGGGGATTTGGATTTTACGGGCCTAGGGTTCTCTTTTCATACTTTACTCGTCTATTTTGTGCTTTTTTGTGATTGTAGAAGCTAAAGGACTCACTTGGGTCGTCGGTTCTTCACAATTCCTTATCTGGGTTGTTCGAGTTCTTCAATTTCCTCATCTGGGTCGGTGGGATTTTGTGATTTTTCCATAGTTCTTTATCAGGTTCGTTGATTCCCCACGTTTTCTCATTTGGGTCGTGGCTAATTTTTCTAATTTCAACAGTTTTTGGGTTGGAATCGAGGTATTTTCCCCCAAGTTTGCTTCCTTGAATGCTAGCTACAAGGTGAAATTTGATCAGGTTGGTGTGATTGGAATCCGAACTATGGTCCAAGTTGTGGCCTGGCTTCAGTGTTATAGTCTAGGGGATTTCAATGGTTTTCGGGTTTTAAATCTTCTGTGAGGAGCTTGAGCTACTTTGCTTAGCCAACTGTGTGGAAGCCTGCAGGAAATAATGTTTCATTCTCAGGGAGCTTCAAAGCACCCTTGTAGTCTGCTTGTGGTCAATTGTGCGGAAATTTCTGAAGAGAAACGTAATAAGGACACGGCAGATGATAAACTCAGATACCCGTTTCCGGAGTTGGTTTCCTCAGGGCGTTTGGAGGTGAAAATCTTTCGTTACCATTATCTTCTGAATATTAAATATCAAATGTGCTGCGCATGCTTTTGTTACCAATATCTTCTTGTTCTTAACTTATTTGGTGAATTCCTGGTTTTGTTATAGTTTCTAATTTTGCCCTCTATGTGACTCTTTAAAATGCAGGTTCAAACTCTGACCAAGCCAACCAAAGAGGAGTTATGTAAAATGCTTGAGTCATATAAGCCGAATCTTGTATACCTGCAAGGAGAACAGCTTGGCAATAATGAAATTGGTTCTCTTGTCTGGGAAGATGTCGACTTGTCGACTCCTGAAGCTATATCTGAGATCTTTGGTGCCACATTGCCCACAACTGTATGTATTAAATTTCTTGAACTTGCAAAATCCCATGTTTGTATACATGATCTATGCCCCTATTCCATTCTTGCATTGATGAATTAAGGAAAATATATTTCATGGGATGTGGGAATTGCTTTCTTATTTGTATATATTTATGGCGGCATGCGATTTTTTAACTCCGGGTTAGTCATTTGACAAGAGACATTGAAAAACTCAAGGAGTGGGTAAATGGGAAATGCCTTATGATGTGTGCGGAAAGTGTTTCTTGCATGATTTCTTGTGGTCGAAATCTGTTTGCAGTTCTTTCCCCAATTATGGTTGATGTTTCTTTCTTTTTTATTTTGTTTTTCTATGCTCTTTTCTGTTTGTTCTTTGTATGCTTGAAGTTTATTTGACATGGGGCTCAACTTCATATAATACATATATGCAGGTTTATTTGGAGGTTCCATATGGTGCAACATTGGCAGCAGCCATTCACTCAAAGGTAATTTTAGTAAGGTTTATTAAGTATGCTCTCAGGAGTTCACTATCAAGGAATTAGTGAGAAATGGCTAGTTTGGGTGTTGTACTCTTGTTTCAGAACTTGAAGCCTGTTCATTTTTATTTTTATTTTTTTCGTCCGAACAATCCCGTTATTTTGCGTAACATGGTTTTGTTGAAAATTGTGGTTGAGTATGGAAGTTTCATCTGCAGGGGATTCCTTATGTGATATATTGGAGAAGTGAATTTTCTTCCTTTGCTGCTTGCCACTTTCGACATGCTTTACTTTCAGTGATACAGAGGTACTTCTCCTTCTATTCATTTATCTGAGCATATGCATAAAGGGTGTTAGCTTCTTGGATTGGTTACAGGGGAAGAGATGACATTTTGGTGTGCAAATGTATATGTATTTGCAGTTTGCACACAGTAATGTTGGTTACTTATAGAAATTGGTTAATGTTTGGTTACTGTCACTAGAGACACTTAACGTCATTGATTTGGATTATATGGATTGTCTGTGCAATATGCATGATCATCGTTAGTTTAGACATCTTACGCTCCTATATTCTGTACAAGCACTAAACAGGCTTGACAATTGCAGTTTTGTTGATTGCAGTTCATCAACTCATACGTGGGATGCTTTCCAACTTGCATACGCTTCCTTTAGACTTTACTGTGTAGAAAACAACCATCTTGTTCCTGCTAACATATATAAATCTAGTGCGGAGCTGGGGCCATGTCTTCTTGGTGACCGTATAAAAATCAACGTTGATCTTCCTGAGGCAGACATGGAAGAAGATGAAAAAGGTTCCTTGGGTACTCTCCCTGCTATAAAGATACATGATGATGATGTGACCTTGAGGTTTCTTGTTTGTGGCGAGCCGTCCACATTGGTAAGCTTGCATATATTTCTTTTTTACCGGTGTTTAAATATTTATTCTTCAGTTGGGAAAACATGCACACAAAAGCCGGCAGGAATGAACATACTACCAAATCATCCATAGACTTATGGGATGAATTGTTTTCAGGATGCAAGCTTATTAGAACCTTTGGAGGATGGTCTCAATGCCCTCTTAAACATTGAAGTAAGTGTGATTTTGGCTAGTCAATTTGTGTTTCTTTTTACTATAGCTCTAATTAGGGGAATATTTTCTTCTTGCCCTTCCAGAAAGTGCTTATTCCTGATTAAACTTATTGAAGAAATGATAATTAGTACTGCCTTACATAACTTTCCTAATTTTCTATTTATGTTTATCAAAAAATTAAACAAAAACTAACATACTACCCTTAGTATCATCATGGTGCAAGGAGTTCTTATTTTTCTTCATTTTATTGTTTATGTTGCTCCAGATGCGTGGGAGCAAGCTTCATGGAAAATTTAGGTATGTTGGATCCTTTATACAGTTGATGTATATGGTGGTGGATGCTCTTTTATTGTAGCTTGATTGGGGTTTTGCAATTATTTAATAGTATAGTAGTTTGCATCATCTTATTGGTTAAAATGTTAACTGTTCATGTGGAGAAGGGATGCTGTTGACTTTGTTTGGAAGGCTAGTTGCCATTTTCTAATGGTTTTGTTCCTTATAAGAAAGGTTTTAAATATTATTGCAATTTGATATTTGAAACGGCTTTACATTAAATTTTCAAACTGCCCGGTACTTTTCTATTTTTATTTCCCCCATGTGGACTTGTTCAGCAGTTATGCCCTAGAGTGAATAAAATTAATGAATGAATGCTTTTTAATGTTTTTAGTGCTCCTCCACCGCCTCTTCAGGCTGGGACTTTTTCTCGTGGTGTCGTGACTATGCGATGTGATGTATCAACTTGTAGTTCTGCGCACATATCACTTCTTGTGTCGGGCAGTGCTCAAACTTGCTTTGATGATCAGGTAATCCTAAAGGACTTGTGTGGAAAAATTCTGTTATTGGGAGCTGTTCAACTTTACACCTTGTTACCTGTTTACTTTCAGCTCTTAGAGAATCATATAAAGCATGAAATTATCGAAGAGAGTCAACTTGTACGTGCATTGCCCAAAGATGACGAAACCAAAGCACCTCTATCTGAACCACGAAAGTCTGCGTCAATTGCATGTGGGGCTACAGTATTTGAAGTTAGCATGAAGGTTCCTGCATGGGCTTCACAGGTTTGATCTATATCTCCTCTATCTTGGTCTTTGCTAGCATGATATTGAAGAACTGCGGGGACACCAAAATTTGATGCCCCCTTTTGTTAATTTTGATTCTGCTAGTCACCACTCACTTGCCCATTCTGCAGTTGTAATCAAATTCTCCTCTCTCTTAGTTGAGGGGATTCAAGAAATTGGGGGTAGGCTAACTGGTTAAAGGAGGTATCTAATTCTCATGCCCAAGAACGGGCCTCGTGAAAATGGAGATTCTTTTTATTGGGACAACATCAGTGTTTACGAAGCATAGTTCTAAAATCTGGTTATCTAAGGAGCATTCTTTGTGGAAAAGCAAATTTAGCTTGTTGGCTTGGAATCTTCAGTGTTGACTTTTTTTTATGTTGAAGAAAAATGGACCATTTTTTCTAATACAATGCAACTGTTGTATTTGTTGTGGCTACAATTTCAGGTTTTGAGGCAGCTCGCACCTGATGTTTCTTATCACAGTTTAGTTGCACTGGGCATTGCCAGCATTCAGGGATTACCTGTGGCTTCTTTTGAAAAAGATGATGCTGATCGCCTTCTTTTCTTCAGTTCCAGTCTGGGGAAAGATGGTAAATCAAACGACTTGAGTCTCAGCAGCCTTCCTACTTGGTTGAGACCACCTCCTCCTAGTAGGAAGAGATCTCAACCATGCCAAGAGACATGCCTGGGTTCTCTTGACGGCCAGGGGCTTCCACGTTTACCTGCTTCTAAAATTGATGAAGACAACAGAGTTGCTGGAGCAATGAATGGGGTTAGCACATCTTTCCTTCCAGCCAGGCAAAGATTGAAAATAGCCGCAATGAGGCCCATTCCTCATGTTCGTCGTCCTAAAATGACACCCTTTTCTGGAATGTCTGAGGTAGATGGGCATGAAGGAGGCCAAGTCAAGGCTCATATGCCTCCTCCTCCTCCACCCACAAAGCTCAGTATTGTTGGATTAACTCCTACAACACAACGAAAATCATACTCAAGCTCTTCTCAGGCTAAGCAGATTATTTCCTTGAATCCTTTGCCATTAAAGAAACATGGTTGTGGTAGAAGCCCAATACATTCTTGCTTAGAGGTGAACTATGTTTTGCTTAAAGTGTTAAATGAATTTGTAGGTGTTGAACAAGTCTATATATTATACACACACATGCACAGCTATATTATATATCCACATTGTAGGTGTTAACCAACATACATGCACTACCATGCTCTCCATGTGCTGCAGATCTTTTTTTCTCCTGTAGGTTGTAACCATGTGATAAGAAAATAATATACATGTTGGTCATAGAATAAAATAGCCGTCAAGAAAGTAATTAGGTTCGTAAATAGGGAAGTCAAAATGGGAAATAGGTAGTTTTAAATTGGCAGCGAGAATTTTCTTCTCTTTTTTTCGTTTTTCCAAAATTGTATCAAAGATGTTGTTTTCCTTGGAAAATAAGAATTAGTAAAGGTATAAAGGCGATGTTGTGGAGTAAAAGTAAAGTGCGAACATGAGAGGAATTCCACTATTATAATAGTACAATGAATATGAATTTTTATTTAATGCTACTCTAACTATATGCTTAACCTGTGGGGTTTTACTTTCTTTTTCACATAATCCGTTTAGCTTTTTTACTTCACCTTTGAGCAGGAGGAGTTTTTGAAGGATGTAATGCAGTTTCTAATTCTCCGAGGACATAATCGGCTCATTCCCCAAGGTGGACTCGCTGAGTTTCCAGATGCCATTCTCAATGGAAAGCGTCTTGACCTGTACAACTTATATAAAGAGGTGAAATCATCAAATTCCTTGGCCAGGATTAGGGCTGACGTTGTGACTAAAATAACTAACGATGGAATTTTGTAAAATTTGTAATTGAAAAGTTGAGGTGTTTGTCAGGTGGTTACGAGAGGAGGCTTTCATGTTGGCAATGGCATCAACTGGAAAGGACAGATCTTCTCAAAAATGCGCAATTACACAATGACCAATAGAATGACTGTATGTCTGTAATCTCCCTTTGGTTTTGTTTTCCAGTTTTGAAGTATTTTATGCTACAACATCTGCAAAGAGGTAAGAGAGAATGAAAGGGTGGGACCAAAATTGTGAGACGGTTTATGCTTATGGGAGAATAGTACTTGAACCTCAGAATAATTGGGGATTCTTCCAAATATATATTCTACACCTAAATAGTGTATAATTATGACCGGATGAATAGGGACGTATTATGTGTAAGACTCAGTAGCTTGTAACAGGTCAATTGATACAGGTGAGTCTGATTCTTGTTTTCACAGGGTGTTGGAAATACACTTAAACGACACTACGAAACTTACCTTCTAGAATACGAATTGGCTCATGATGATGTAGATGGAGAGTGCTGCTTATTGTGTCACAGGTTCGCATTAATCCGTCTTTTTTTTTTTATTCTCCATTGGCATAAAATGATTGTATTAGCTAATGCCTGCTTTCATGAAATTGGATATTGTTCTACAGTAGTGCAGCAGGGGATTGGGTAAACTGTGGAATATGCGGTGAGTGGGCTCACTTTGGCTGCGACAGAAGGCAGGGACTTGGTGCTTTTAAGGTATCTATCCCAAAATTTGTAAGCACCTTGTGGCTGAGAAAGCAACTCATTTGGCTTTTATATGTTAAATTTTTGTTTCGACTTTGCAGGATTATGCAAAAACAGATGGACTGGAGTACATATGTCCACATTGCAGCATCAGCAATTTCAAGAAGAAACCACAGAAAATTGCAAATGGATTTTCCCAAGGCTCAACAGTATCACGGCCACTGTAATTCAATTTTGCTCCTACAATATCATAATTAATATCATCTTCCTTTTGGCTCTCTGATTTGGAGGTTGCTTCCCTCCCTAATCTGGCACGAGAAGTTGATTTGTACGGCTGATTAGGCCTTAATTGCACGATGCTAAAATAGGAGACCAGAGACCGGGGGAGGACAACGGTAGAAAACAGCAAGTCTAGTAGAGCATACTAGTTAGCGTAGGTATTTCGTTTCGGGTGGGAAATTTCTGTCCCTTTTTAGCTCTACCATTGTGTCAGTCTGTTTCTGTTTCCCCTTTGGGGTTGTTAAGGTTGGACAGTTAAGAAATCCCATCATTCAGAAAGGGTCGTTGTAATATAATGCCGCTATCTCTGTGAACATATACGACTTTATGTAGCGTTTAATGAAAGATTATGATTATACTGACCTATCAACACATTCTGTCTTTCTAATCTGCTGATTCGATGAGTTTTTCTTCTTCATATGAAGGCTTAGATATGTGAACTGTTGGATCTGCATCGTATGGCAATGGCCCGGTCATGGCGGGTTTTCGCTCCTATACCGCCTGTGCCACCGATTTTAACGGGGAAATCATTGGATTGTATACATGGAAAAAGAATCAACACCCTAAAAGGTGTTGAGTATCCCATCTTGGCCTAGTTACTTGGATGGAACACGAACACACACAAACAAGCCTACCGTTCATTACATAACACAAGCTCCGGGCAACAGTAGGTCACCTTCAATGGGATACGCAAGCATGTCTTGGGATGGACATTTTACGGGGTGGTTTGGGAGTGAGGTGCTTAAAAAAAAAGCACCCATGAAAAAAAGCTGTGAGGGTTTTAGGGGTTTGGTAAACTGAAAAAAAAAGGGCTTATTTTGGAAGCTGCTGTGAGAATAAGCTGAAATCAAAGGAAAAAGCTGAAGCTGCTATTTGTAGCTTTGGAAAATTGGCTTTTTTTCAAAGCACACGGAGCTACAGTGCTCCTTTAATGAAAAGACCCACTATCAGATTGCTTTTTTTTTTTCCAAAAGCACTTTTACAAAAAAGTTTACCAAACACTTTGCTGATTTATTTCACAGCCGCTTATTCTCACAGCAGCTTTTTTTCAAAGCACAACAATATCAAACCAGCCCTACATATTTCATGTTGTCCTGAAAGCTTTCTAATGAACATGATGTAAAATACCTAGCACGGCCGAAAAATGTAAATTTAATTTTCTTTTATATCTTTAGGAGCTGGGTCGTGCTTGTTAAAGAGATAAAAGTAAACGAGATCGCAAATTTACATCTTTTCCATTGAAGAATAATTCATGTTCCATAAATGTAAATATGGTTTTTCTATCTCAAATTTGTATATGCTGATTAAAAATACTCTTCAAAGTTAATACTATAATGAAATTCACAGCAACATTCTATCAGCTCAATGAGTCAGTGGCATTAGGGCATCTTCAACGGAAGATGTAAAACACTTTGAAATGTGTACTTTGTTTTTTTTTTGGTTGGCCGGATAATTTTCCAATGAAAATATTTAAAATATGCATCTTGGTTGAAAAAGGTAAATAAAAACCTAAATCTAAATAATTTTTTATATCTTCTAGTGTAAAAAAGATGCAAATATGATTTTTTTTATTAACACTCCACAATCTTAGCTTTTTTTTTTTAATTCTTGTTGAACTACTTCATTTACCCTTATTTAAATTTAAAAAAAAAAAAAAAACAAGCAAACAAACCCAGCACCCACAAATGCATCACGTATTCCCTTCGCAACAGTCAAACAACATGCACCACCATGTCACACCCCGATCTCCACATACGTCCAGGATTGACACGTGACGTTACCAAATACCCGTATCACTCACATACCCCGCCTCCAGGATATGGACAATGCACAACTCAAGATTCGAATTTCGTGATAAATTTTCTTATACTTTATGGCTGCATCTAACCTTCTCGTTAGACTGCCTACGTACCCTCAAAAGGGATCAAGCCATTCGTAGTTCACCAATCGTCAACTCTACTCTTTCCATAAAATACTTCTAACAGAAAAATGATAATGCACCATATTACACATCAACCTTACGTCAAACAACAATTATCATCTTTCATACACGCATGTAACCCATTCTCACACAAATACTTTCCAATTCCCTCATCATATAAATCACTCTGTTTCACATAATACCTCAAATCATAGTATGTAACATATCAAAGAACCAACGAAGCACAATGTTATTCTCAAGTCACATTAATCAATTACTCCAATCATAATAATCTCAATCATATACACAACTTCATTCCACAATCACATCAATTAATTAATCATGAATCAAAGATACGTGATCTTAGCATTTAATTGTTTAATCAATGAATGCAGTAACATATCATTTTACAAATTTAACCAAGGAACTCTAACAACTCCGAAGGAGTCACCCAAACATCCAACGGTTCGTCTGAAACAAATCACAACAGCTCATAATCATAATCTCATATAACACCATGAAAAGTAGGGTTAGAGCGACACAGTTCGGCTGAAGCCTACATCTCTGAAGCTGAAAACAAATCCAAGGAACCAAGACAAGACACCAAAGGGATTTCGGACCACTCAACGAAATCCAGACCAGGATACGATTCCGGACCATCACTCAACGGAATCTCGAAGTACCATGCATATATAACCGAACCACTCGATGAGATACAAGCTGGATACGATTTCGGACCATCACTTAACAGAATCCGAACTAGGATACGATTCCGGAACATCACTCAACAGAATCCAAACAAGCATATGATTCCCCCATCAAATGTACCAAGTACAACTAATCCTCCTCACTTTTAGAATGCATATGGTCCCCCAACGCGGATATACCAAGCAGGACCATCAATGTACAAGTACTAAATGGTGTAGTAAATTCCAACACCTCAACTTATCCACATCTCAACCCCTATGAGTTACAACGTAATCATCTACACCATCAACTTCTTAAGGTCACCACTAATATGTCACCCAAGCATATAAGTGCTACAATACACTTCTAATAGGATTCTAGGATCACATTATCATCTCTACTAATAGAATGCCAGAAGTCTGTTTTGGTGTCTTAAGGCTTCACCAAAAAAAATTGGACACAAAAGCCCTTGAAACAAAAAAAATTAAAACTGAAGTAAATTATGAAACTAAATGTTTCATGGGCATTTGTGTAAATAAAATAGAAAAAAAATTGACAAAAAAAAGGAAAAAAAAAGAATTTCAAACATGGGGAAAGGCTGGAGAATAATTAGAGAGTTTGCCATGGTGTTGGATACGTAATCTTCAACCGCCGCCGCTTCGCTCCTGCGCCCGCGCCGCGGCTTTCTCGGAATCGTCGCTGGATTAGCACGTTCAGTTTTCAAACTGCATAGCAGTTTCCGTACAGTTTTCAAACTCACTAATTCGCAGCGGAAACCAACCCACCCACCCACGTCTATCTTTTATTCCCCCATTTTATGATCAAACTTCTTCCTCACATAAAGCTCTCTATACAATCGTTCATTTTACAGACTCTGTAACCTGCCACAATTCCGCGTCCAACTCTTTTCTTTCTGTTTTCTGACCGCTACCTACCACTACGTATTCTCTGTTCTTCTTTCCCTACTCTTTCTCTATAGGTTTCAGTTTCACCCATTTGCATGCTAAGAATCTACACAAATCGGTAAGAAAATCACTCGCACACATACATGGAAGTATATTAGCACAATTCTGTGAAGATTTTTGATATTTTTCTTACATTTTCCTGCATTTTCTAGGCAATTAAACACATGAATGCTACCATCAGCTAACCACACTAACGTTAACTGATTTTCCTGCATTTTTGTTTTCAATTTTCCTGCATTTTATGATGCCAATAATTAGACAAGTAATAATAAAATTTAAAGAACAAACAATGACGTTAAAGGCTAAGGCATACATTTTCGCTGGATCTTGCCTATTAGGTGTTTGTGAAATCAAGGTTTGGACTACTAGACAACACGCCACCTTCGATTTGAGGTATGGAAGTCTCCAGCTTGCAATTTGAAGCTCCTCCTCCTTCTCCATTTCCACTTCAGCCTCTTCACTAATCTCATGATTAAATCCTAAATGTAACAACCCATGTATCTGCAGGAGGGCGTTTGAAATTCTTTCAGGTAGAAAGAACTGCTGTGAAATTCTTCCAGTTTTGGCAAGGCACTACAATCCTACTTCTGCTCTTCCATTGCCTTCTAGGTATTTTCTCTTCATTATTTCTTGCTTTGTACTCTTTCCAACTTATATTTGTTCCTTTTTTTTCCCCAATTTATATGTTGCGGTGGAAGAGCAGAAGTCCTTCAGTTTCCTTTTTCTATTGGGGTTTGTGATGATTGCTAATAAAAAAAATTCAAGTCCTTCAGTTTTCTTTTTATGCAGTCTCTTTGTTTGTGTGTATGTATGTCCGTCTTTTTTGTTTGTTTTTTTATAGCAACATCTGCAGGTCTTCTGCAAGCTTTCGAATTTTGGATTATATGTTGTTTTACTCTATGAATTATGGGGTAAAAAGGACACACCTTTAACAATTTTGTGATTGAATTTTTATTGCAGTGGGACAACCATATCACATGCTTGCATCCCAATCTCTCCAATGACAAATGTTTTCTTTCTCTTTGGGTAAATATCAATCTAAATTTAACTTTTCAATTTTTAAGTTTTTTTTTTTCATTCATCTTTTAGGTGATGAATTTGATGCGCTCTACGACATCTTTCAGGATGTATATATGAGTTTGTATTTAGTATTTCTAAGTCAATTTTAGTTTTTTTTAAACTTCTTTCTTTGAAATTTTCATTGTGCGTTTTTTAAATTTTGGTCAGATTATGAGTTTCAATTTTGATTATCTTAATGTGCTATACATGTGCTATGGAAATTTAAAAAAAAAAATTGTTTTCATTCTCAGGATATTTACAAGAATACCCACAAAAAATGGAAAATGAACTACCTATTGATAAGATCCCAAGCAGACGTGTCTCTATTTTTACACCTGGTTGGGAGATATCTGTCGGAGTAAAAGCTACTGATCTAAGCCAATTGATTCTCAAAGAGTGGAAAAAGAAGAAGCATGAGCAGTATGTAATCTAAATTCTTTATTAAATTTGTTACAAGAAATTCCAACATTATATATACCTTCAATATATAGGTGACACATGAAAAAGGCTGTAGAAGAATTAAAATCTTCAAAAACTCCTCGCATCATACGAATTTGGAATAAAGTCCAACAAATTAGGTACAACACCATTTCTTACCTATTTATTTTTAATGGCATTCTCTATATCATTCTAAAAATTAATTATCTCAAATTATAAAATTAAAAAAAAATCTACAAATTAATTATCTCGAATTATAAAAAAAAAACAATTTATGGGTGCAGGAAAAAGATTAATAGT